AAAAATTTTCTTTTAAAATTTAAAATTTTATTTTTTCAAAATTAAATATTTTCTAGTATTTTAGAATTTACTTTTTCAAAGGTTTTTTCTAGAATTTTTGAATTTAATTTTGTAGAAATTTATATTTTTATTTTTAAAATATTACTTAAATGCTTAATTTCAATGTTTAATACTCTATTTTCAAAATGCATTTTTTTAAAAATATCAGAACAAACAAATTTTGTGTGTTTCAAAATTGAAAACAACTAATCAAACGTCTCCTTAAGATCTTATTTGATGTTAGTTCTTAAATGTAATAATTGTGTAAATAATAAGCGAATAATAAATTGTATTTTTCTACAAAATGTATAAGTAAGATGTATATTTATCTAACTTAAATTAGAATTTAATACATGTCAAACTTAATAAAGATCTTCAATCTTAATCTAAAATGTGCAAATATGTTCTTTACCTTTATTGGAGTACTCAAATACTTCTTAGTTGAAAAATTTCTCCATTTACTTCCAAATTTAACTTATCATATAATTAGAATTAAAGTGTAAATATTCCCCATTCGAATTCAAGAATTAACAATGGTGGCAGCGGGTCATGTATTCGATATTAGATCAAAATCCAAATTTGGCAATAGGGGATTGACATTGATACGTTGACAGCCTTCATTGTGATTGACCATTGCCATTGCTATAACTACCACCACATGAACATGTAATCTAATTGCTTGATTTGATTTTCTTATATGAATTTTGTGGTTTGCGTTTGGATATGGTGGTGATCATGGCACAATAATAGTGCAGATGATAATGATGGTGACGAATGTTACAAATCTACTAGTGGAGGTGGTGATTTAGGGCTTTATAGTTGGCGATTTATCATGATGGCAAACGAGATGATGGTGTGTATGCTTGGTTTCGAGTGTGGTGATGGTCAATTAGATGTGCTAAGATTTTATAAGTGGTGGTTTTTATTAGCTAAGAAAAGTAGAATTGGTTGCTTTTCCATTTATTGAGTTTAATTTGAAATAGAACAAAAACAAAAACAAAACAAAACCACCAAAACCCAAAATTAAAAAGGTACAAAAATCTTATAATTTTTGTTTCAAGAGAAAGAAAATATTATAACTTCTTGACACAATATCTATATTTCATACTGGACTTTGAGATTATTTTTTATTTTTTATTTTTTTCCCACCCTTTCTTCAAATCATTGATCTAAGGATACAACCCCCGTCCCGGGTTGGGGACAGGATTGAAGACAGAGACGCCACATGACTGACAAACGCCCCTCCAATAGGGGGCGCCTGTCCCCCAAGCCGGGACAGGAAGCAGATTCCTTGATCTAATAAAGCTTCGGGGGGCGCCTGTCCTTAAGCTGGGACAAGGAGCAGATTTCTTGATCTAATAAAGCTTCGCCGCTTTGGGAGTTAGACAACATATCACCTACTAAAAATTACTCAAAATTAATTTGAGAAATCCACGAAAATCAGTTTAAAAATATAGCTTTTAAAACCTAATAATTAAATAATATTCTCAGCCATCCAAAGCAACCCCGCATGAATAAATTTGACTACAGTGAAGCCAAAAATAGGATAGTTGAGATTGATCTCTTTTGCTTCATGGTTACGAATTGTTTGGGCACATATAAGTCCCATCAACAAGACATTGAAGCTTTAAATTCTTTGCACAAACAAAATTAAAATAAGAAAAGTAAAAGAGTCTAACTCACACACACTGTGCACATAAATATACTTCTTATTTACCTTCGTTTGACATATCAGAAGAGTCTCGCATGTTTCAGAACATTAAGATAATGTGAAGAAATCTGAATTCACCACTGAATGAAAAGAGAATTTCCATGGAAGAAATCCCACACGTATATGGTCGGGAATAACGGAAAGGGCCGAATTTGTTGGACAAATGGAAAGGAAAGAGCCATTCAAATGATGAAATATCTTTAAGTGATTGATAACTTTAATATATTTCGAGATTTTCAAACTTTAACTTTTGATGCATCCAATTATTTCAAGACACTTAGATCCCATGTTTATCTTTTGAATTGATACATCGTGTTTTTGTTTACTCTTTGATTCTATTTTTTGGTAAGGGGTCCAAATCTTTGATA